TTGGTTTTATTGCCTGTATCTTGTTATAAGATCTGCCTATGTAGGGCAGAATGTAAACATTTTGGAAATAAGTAAATCCATCCATCCGTCCATCCATCCCTGGCTTAACCTTTCCAAGACCACAAGGCAAGCATGTTATTTATTTATTTAATTTAAGTCATTTATTTGCCACCCTTTCTCCCCCATAGGGCATCATTGATGGCAATGGGATCTGATATCTTGAAGTTTATCTCAATGGCTCAGTCAGGCTGTAGAATACCAATATCTGCTGGATTCACACAAAAATATTTTTGAAACAGTATGTTATTGCAAGATAAGGAAGAATATAGCAGGGACAATCTTATCCTGTGGTTTACTTTTCAAAAACATATCTTATTTCGTTCCAGACTCGCTTGAGTCCTGAGAGGAATGTAAATCCATACATATCAGGGTTATAAACTTCTCCCCTCCCTCAGCAATCAACTTGACTGCGATGCACAATTCAGTTCCAGCAAGATTTATTACAAGCTCTAATCTTGCAGATCCACCATTTGACATAGCACAAGAGTCCCCTTGAGCAAAGGCAGGCAAAGGGCAGTCTGGTATCTCCTGGGAAATTGTAGGGTGATTTATAGCAGATCTTGATGGGCTTCTTACTCACAACTATTTAACAGTACCAGCCAACCTTCTCTAAATTGTGCTGCTGAAGTGGAAAAAAGCTTGGTGGTCCAGGAAAAGAGGAATGAATGCTTCTGCAGTAAGAACTATGATTTTTGTTTAGACATCCAAATCGGTTTCTGGGCTATTTTCACAGAGACATTTCTGTACATCAAACTGTGCATTTCTATCTCCCTTCCTCTACCTACCTACCACTACTTCACAGCTGATTCCACTGGGTAAATCTAAGGGTTACTGTAAAAAACACAAATTAATCAGGCTTGGGTAAAAGTCAGATCCCTGGAAAGAAAAACAGATCCTCATTAATTCATATGATTTTTACAAGACTCTCCCCAAATCAACATCAAATGAGAGATCCTTTCTGTGTCTGCAGACTGAGCCATAAAAACCACAGGTCCCCTGCTGCATGATGCTGCCCCACAAACGCCTAGATCCACACAGATCCTCATGAATCTACATTATTATGTGAGATCCCCCCAAGCAACTGTTGAATAATAGATCTCATGCATTCCCACAGACTGAACCATAAAAATCAGGAGTCCTTTGCTGTATAAGATCACCATGGCACAACAATATGGATCCAAGGTTTAGATCCTCATGGAACCACATGATTTTTCCATAGGATCCTCATGAAACTCACATCATAAAATATAAATAATCTCTGCCCACAAACAGGGCAGCAAAAATTCTGGATCCCTTACTTCATGCTGCTGTCACTGCTCAACAACAGAGATCTAAAGGACAGATCCTTATGGATCCACATTATTTTTACGTAGGATTCTTCCCAAACTACCACGAATCACAACTTTTACCTGTGCTCTCAGTATGGGACAAAAACAGATTTGAAGCAGGGATCTTCATAGAGTTACTTGATTTTTAACATGGGATCCTCCCCCAACCCACCATCAAATCCTAGATCACATCTGTATCCAAAAACTGAACCAATAATTTTTCCCCATAATGGCAGTGTAGTGCAGCCAGAGATCCTTCTTATGACACAGGTATATATGACTTGAATGCATTTTAGCATGAATACCATGTCAAAGTTGTACAGATTCATGAGGATCCATGCCTGAGATCAGTGTTCTTGTACCATGGTAGCACTGTGCAATAAGGGAGGTTTTTAGCTTCAGACTGTAGGCATAGAGGGGATTTACAGTTGTTCCATGGATTAATGTAAATGTTGTGTTTAAATCTTAACAGTCATTGAGCATTTGTGCCTTGAATTCATGTTTTCATGCTCTTTTGGCATCATGCAAAAATGCATCTTTGACCTGGTTGCAGTTCAGTCTGTGGTAATACAGGGAATGTATGATTTTTCTGTGGTTTTCTAGGACTAATATGCTTTTGTACTGTGAAAGATCCACAGTTTTAAAGATGTTGTCTCTTGACAGAGATGGAGCTATAACTTGGCAGTGGTTTTGTGAGGATCCCAAGAAAAATGTACAGATCCATAAAGATCTGTGCCTCAGATCTGTGTTTTTGCCCCATGTTGGTGCTGTGCAGCAGGAAATCTGTATCTTCATGATTCCACCTGTGTGCACAGATAAATGCATAATTTCACAGTGACTGAGCAAGAATGGCATATGTCTGGCATCCATATTTTTGCACTATGGCAGTGGTATGCAGTGAGAGATTCACATTTTCAATACTTCTGTCTGTGGGCACAGATATGATTTTATAGTCATTTAATGAGGATCTAATGAAAAAGTTATATGAATCCCTGAGATCTATGCATTAGATCCATGTTTCAACACAATGGCTGCACCATATACTGTAGTGAACTATGCATTATTTTTATTATTCAGACTAGATGAAATGTAAGACTTGACAGGGACTTCGTACGGTATGTAGAAATCATTCGGGTCCATAGGGCTCCAAGCATCAGATCCACTAGTAGTTCAGCTCAAGAAAATGCTTTCAACTCTTAATGTTACGAACTGCAAGCCTAAACTATAGAGGGCTGAAGATCAGCTTGAGAGGCATAGTTTGGGTAAAGGTTCTGACACAGCAAGATGGATCTTCCTTTCATTTTTGACTGAACTCTTGGCTCAAACTAGCAAATCAAAACTCTAGAGGAGTACAGCAGGTTTTCAGAAATAGTACTGTAGTAACTTTTAAGAATCTTTTGTTTATTATTAGAAAAGAAAATCACATTTGGCAGCCGAAGAGCCCTACTTTTAAAAAATTTCAAAAGTTCTCTTGCAGCCTGAGTCTGTGCAGGCTCACCCTCAATACAATGACACCCTACGTTCGTACATGTCCCTGTGTAAATATGCACAGGATTGCCATGTGTGGGAATATGGCATGCCCCTGAAGTCAGGATCAATTAGGTATCAGCAAGCATGACAGTTGGACTCCCTCTTTGACTCTTCAAGAATCCATGTTTTGCTGTTTTTACAGAGATCATTCTGAGAACCCTACCTGAGTTTGTAATGCAAAACTGCAGTTTCATAATGAATTCTGAATATTTGTTCTCCAGAGTACAGCCTGTACAAACTCTGCAGATAGAGGGAGAGTTTCCATCACCTAGCTTTGAAGAAATGATATGCCTAAGAATTGGACTCAAGGACAACTCGTGTGAGATTATTAGTGGTCTTTAAGGTGCTTTAGGAACCCTGCTTTTTGAAACAACTTTCTGTTCTTTCTTTGCTTTTGTTAATAACTCTGTAAGATAGGATGCTTGAATAGTGGGGAGGATTCATGGAAGTGCAGGAACACATCTGGCGGTCTTGCCAACTACCTTCCATCCAATTGGCAAGATGCTGTTCTAGGACACTCCATTTTCTCCCACTTGCCCCCCCCCAAATTCCTGAGTAGCCATAAAAAATGCCCATTCTTCACTGGGGTGTCTTAGCACGAGGGGGGGGATTCTTGCTTCTGTTTTATTTCTGCCTCAATTTTTTTTTGGCGTATGCAAGTACCAAGCACCGTCCTAGGATCTGCTAATTCTTTATTCCATGAAGCTGATCTGCATTTGGCCATAGTTGAACGCTGAAGACCAAAGCAGAAAGGTGGGTAAAATAAATAAATAAATAAATAAATAAATAAATAAATAAATAAATAAATAAATAAATATTAACAATGTGTTCTTAGATGAGCCAATCGCCTGGTTAAAGGATTTTAGTAGACAAGCAGCATATGATTCAAAACCTGAATGTTCACGTTTGCAGCTTGGGTGTGCTCTTGGATCAACATTTCAGATTTCAGTTGTGGCTAATAAGGTGTATGCTTAATGTGCCCTCCTACACACAGCAGAATGAGTACTTGTTCAATGTTTGATCTGACTACAGTTACTCATGTTAGTCATATCCCACTGGGATGACTGTAACATATTCCACATGGGGCTACATTTGGAGAGTGTTCAAAAGCTTTAATTGGTCCAGAATGTTAATCACAACCACTTAGAGCGAGCATCAATCATGCTATATAAGTTCCACTGGCTACTAGTCCATTTCCAGATTCAGTTCACTGTGCTGGATATGACTTAGAGCCTATATGCCTTGGGTCTTGGCTAGCTGAAGGACCACACCTTCCCATATGAGACTCTTCATATTTTAAGGAGAGGTCCGGTCCCATCACCCTTTGAGGCACATCTGCTGAAGACTCGAGACAGGGCTTTGCCATTGGCTCTTCCTAGGCTCTGGAAACTGATTCCATGAGAAGTTAGGTTGGTCCCCTCTCTGCTGCCCTTTAGCTGGCAGGCAAAATTCTTTCTTTTCCGATAATCTTTTGTTAACTGAATAGGCTGAATAGGAAAGTGTTAGTAGTAAGAGAAGATGCAAATTTAAAAAATGTTTTAAAACATAGTTTAGTTTAATGGATTTTAATACTATTATATGTGTAACTATATTGTAATATTATAATTTAGATACATACTGTATGCCCTCTGCCCATTTTGTAAGCTACCTTGAGTTCCTGAATTGGGAAAAAGTGAAGATATGAATGGAATGAAATACATATTCCTCAACCTAGTAAAATATGAAGTAGCTCTGAGAAGACTACTTCACCATAAGCACAACCAAATTCTTGATTTTTCCAAAATCATCATCTCCACCAGATTTTATTTAATAATTCTTAAGAGATATAGTGAATCAGATTCCTTATGTAGGGGTCCAACAGCTCATGTGTAAAAACACATGATGTGTAAAAACATTTAATTAGAAATTATAGACTGCACTAAACCTTTAATTTTTTTGTAGCATTCAAGATGCTTCTAGAAGGATTGTGAAAATATTACATCCAAAGCATACATTAAAAAGCTGAATTTTACCTGAATTACTTCTCCTTCTGTAATTTATTTGTGATGTCTGTATTATTCTGTAAATCAGATACATTGTAAATTAAGCTATCTTGCACCTTTATTTCTAACAACTTCAGTGTTTAAGAGGCCCCCAAAAGTCAACTAATGGCAAGCAAGAGAAGCACATTATTCTTTCATAGGGCGCCCCTTATGTCAGAGTTGTTCATTGTGTATATAACAACTTCAGTACAGCAAAAGAGGACTTTTATGTATGACTTGGAATTTGAACGTTAGTTTACTAGATTCACATAGATATACCGAGTATCTTACAACACATGTTAGTTTATGTGAGAGGCAGGAACTTTTCACAAGTTTTGTTTCCTTAGCATGCTACTGCACATTAAAAACGTTTCCTTCTATACACCTCCATTAGATTAAGATCAGAACTGGTTTTCATGAAGCCAAATCTTGACATTTTCATAACAAAATAAAAGTTATATATTAAAGTTCAGTAGTTGCATATTATACTGATGGGCACGACAGCTCTGCTCTACAATCACCTATTCCATTTTAACAAGCAAGGATTTAAATAGCTGAAACTGCACGTGAGGACAATAGATTGTTTTGCTTAAAATACAGAGATTACCAGATTCAGCCAAATTTATTTGAGAGGAACTTCAATCTTGGAGTGAGTTGTGCTGGTAATGAGCAATATAAAAGGCAAGCAATGTTTTTCTACTTTGAATGAGATTTGAAAACAAGCAATAATTAAGGATCATGATTAGGACACACGTGCACAAAAACCCATAAAGATCTCTTAAATACATGACATACCTCATTCAGAACACTGTCGCTTAAAATAAAATTAATTTGATTTTAGTAAAACTTACTTTCAAGTATTCTTAAAGTGATAGTGCTGGTTATCCAATGCATCTTACTTACTTATATGACTTTTTCTCCTTTAATTCACATATCTGTTGTCCTTCTATATGTATAAAGTGTGGGCCCATCTGTAACCAAGACTTTTTTCGGTAATTATATGGAGCACGTTCAACTACAAGGTATCTTTCTTTAGGATTTTCTCTGTGTACCACTAATATTTCTTCAGACAGCTATGAAGAGATCAACATTATGGGTGTAGGTTAAAAGAAATCTGATGTGGGAAACTATGAATAGCAAGGCCTTTTATATTCACATTCTCGACCACAGCGGTTTTTGAAAATATTAGGCCCTCAATCCTTGTTGCGGCAATTACATGAAAAGCCTTTCAAACAAAAATGTTGGAGTTCCGTGGTTTCTAACAGCATTCAGATACAGTCAAGATAATTCTCAGTTCAGGATACTGATAAAAACTAAGACACAATCTTCAGGTACAAGTCTCTTTCAGAAGAGACAAGAATTTATGGAAGAAAACTTGCCAGAAGGATTGTGGCTAAGCTCTATCAATACCAATCTGAAAATTGTACCTTCCACGTTGTAGTACAGATTTATAAAATATTTTCAAACAGTTTATTTACATTCCATGTTTTAAAAGCCCCTTATAGGCTTTCACATTTCATTTTTTCCTTTGATCAAGTAATGTGAAAATTACATCAAGAAACCTGTATATCTGTTTACAGAGGAACATTCTAGGTGCCAAGAAAAGAAACCATCACTGTGAATTTGAATCTCTCAGATTTCACACACTTATCTAGCTTCTGAAAGCATGACCTTTCAGGTGACCACTTGAAAGGAAAATAAGCCTCCATCAGCTTTTAGGGAACATTCTGAAGCAATGTAGAGTACAGAATTTTAGTGAGCTGTAGTACAGCTACATGCAATGTATACTGTACAACTACAGCCCCAAACCCTTTGTAAAATCCCAACATTCCTTCTTCACGCTTTATGGTATTGATACAGTCTCTCATTCCTTCATATTGAGTATTGATCGGAAGGACTTCATACCCAAGGTCTGTATTGTCGATGATGGTACGTGTCCCCTGAATATGAAGGCGGTGCAAAACTGTCTCCAGTGGATAGAGCATGACATCTGCACAGAGGCTGGCAGCAAAGCTGGCAATAAGTTCTGGAAAATAAGCATCCAACATGCTTTGCACAGAACTGGAATGCTCTGTTGCAAGGCCAGGGGAATTCTCTTTCTTCAGAAGGAGGAGAACTAACTTCTGTACTGTGGAACTGATTATGTAATGAAGAACTCCGTGAAGAACCGTTGGAAAGGTCAGTGCTAGAAGTGGAAGCAGTCGCTTGCTGTGTGGCACTCCAAAGCCCATTGCTCTGCCTATGCCCTCTTTTAGGCAATCCAAAATTCCAGGATTATCCCGAATGATTTCACTCTGAAAGTAAACACAGCATTGCCAATGGGTAAAAATATTTTAAACAAATAAATAAATGTGTCTAGTTTTTAAAAATGTTCCAACAAATATTGGTCTGCTTATTTACATTTAAATGAATTTAGAGGAACAGGCTTTCTGCAAAGGACAATAATTCACATGCAAATAAAACCTTTCAAGTCAGTAGAAAAGTTCCAGATTTTGAGTACTTTTAGAAGTAATGCTTCACTAATCAAATCAGACCTAAATTAATCTGATCAACTTAGTCCAGACTTGCATCAGATCAGCATTTTAATCAATGTGCCCTTGTTATTTTGCAGGCACTTCTGCAACACAACCTAATGTCAGTCAGGTATGCTGGTTGCCTTCTGTCTGACCAATTCCTAGGCTACAATTAAAGAGCTCGACTAGATTATAGCACTGACCGAAGGGACACATGATTTTATATTTACCTTAGAGCCTGGAAATGTTTTGAAGAGCAGCTTCCACAATCTCTTAATATTGGCTATTCTGAATGGAGCTGAAGGGAATTATAGATGTCTGGAAGAATCATCTATAATTCCAGGTGTACAACCTAATGTCAGTCAGGTATGCTGGTTGGCTTCTGTCTGACCAATTCCTAGGCTACGATTAAGAATCATCTATAATTCCAGGTGTTCTTTTGCTGTCTCATGAAACCAAGGAATAGAACACCCAGATGTTATCTTTTTTTAAATGGTGGGGAGGGCTGAGAGCACCCAAATGTCAGAAGTTGACATCTGACATCATTGACATCTGGCTGGGGAATATCTGTGCTGACCAAACATTTAGATTGGCCAAAGCTGCCGTAGCTTGATGGGAGGCTACTTCCTTGCCTCTTGTAGCACTAGAGGCACTGGGCTAGATCCTATAGGAGTCGGAAGGGGTTTGTACTGTAGCAGGCCTGGGTTTACTTCTACCCCAAACAGTTTTCCCACCGTAGGAGGCTATCAGAGAACAGGATCCTTGCTGTCTCCCCCTCTCTCTTGGCTGTAACAAATACAAAGTTTCAACTCATTTCCTGAGCTTATGCAATACTTTCTTTCACATTCCACCTCTGCCACAGGAGGACTTAGTAACTGCTGAATACAACATACACAAGCCAAAGTTTATCACCTTTAGGACATTAACATCAGTCATATTACTGACCCGTAAACTCTCTTTTCTTCCCCTCTACTCAGATATTTTAGAGTGGAAGGGAGAAACTGAAACTATGGAAGTATTCGTAACTGGGACACACTCATTGCTCATAGGAATTTTATGGAAACTTTAGATGACCTGAGAGTAGGATAAAAAACAAACTGAAATCACATTTTTCATTTTAAAAAAATCAAACAAAGTAGTGGTTGGAAGTACTTTTTCCCCAAGTTGACATTTTCCATGAAAATGCAGTAGTTCATAAATGTTAATGTACAGCACAACATTGTCCCCGTATCTAACTCGTAGGCAAATCACTTCTCCCCAGTAGCCTCCTTTGACATTTAAGATTCAATAGCCTCAAAAATGAATCAGAGGATTTCCTGAAATAATTTTGTAACATTACTGATAAGACTACAGTATATGGCTGACTTTCATGAGTATGAAGTAAAGATGTGAATTCCAGCTGTTTATTTTGCACAGTTTCCAATAAGGACTGGAGCCAAAATACATTTTCACAGTTTTCATTACAATGTTGACTGGCTTGGGGCTTATTGTTACTTAAAAACTATTGGTTCTAAGATATATCCACTGCACTTGGCTTTTCATTACATTTTATTACTATTATTTTATCCATTTATGCCTTTTATAATTGTTTGTATGTACCTGTATGAAATGCCAAATACTATTTTATGATTGGTTATTCTATGTTCTTGCATATAGTCCAACTGGCTACAAAGCAATAAAGTATTCACATTTGTATTTGTTACTGCACTTGGAATTTTTTTTAAAAAAACTTTCTATGTATGTCATTCATGCATTCTTATTATTTATAACCTGGGTTTCTTCCAAAAGAGACTCAAGGTGGCTAAGTTTTATAAGGCTTTAACTATACATTGGAATAAGGAAGATCATATTTAGACAGTTCCTTAAACTTAACTGGTTTAAATGAATGGTTTTGTGCATTTAGTTCTCTAGTCCAAGTTTTAGTTCAAATTGCTTGCATGAGATATATTTCACATATTGCTACTGACAGTTTTAAATAACTACATAGTCTCTGCTGAAATTGCAACTCTTAAAGAAACAAGCAATTTCAAATATCTGGATTTTAACTGACAATTGTGACATCATTGTGACACTTCTATCATGTCATACTTTCTTAGGCATCCTTCAGTCTCGAGAGACAATGGTAACATGCTCTATATCGAGGACTTGGAACAGCGTCTAGTGTGGATGAGAAGGCCAATTCGAGAGTGATAATCCCTGAAAACAAATGCAATCTGTCCCCTCTCCAGCTCCCTGATTTTGTTGCTTTTGTGACTGCCTCTTTGCCTTGGCCTGCTGAACAAGGGTCTCTTCAAATTGGGAGAGGCCATGATGCACCATCTGCCTCCAGGCTGAGCGCTCAGATATCAAGGTTTCCCATCTGTTGAGGTCCATTCTTAAGGCCTTCAGATCCCACTTCAGATATCCTTGTATCGCAGCTGTGGTCTCCCTCTCCCTAATCATTTACTAACTGGCAAAACACCAACCTAATATAGAAGGACACTGATCCTTAGGTTTACTCTGAGTTGTATAATACAGAATATTAAGTAAGCGTTCCTTCCTCTCAAAAATAAGCCAGGAATATTGCTTTAAGGTACAAGATGTACTTCCACTGAAGAGGCAAACATAGTAAGCGACATAGTAAATTTCCTAGGCAAAATGTCACTCAGGAATCATATGCAAGGTGGGCGAAGATAAACCACACTTTAAAAAAAATATTTATTTAACATATGTTTACAATACTGTTATCCTAAGAAAGGACCCAAGGTACAGTAACTTACATCATTAAAACACAATATTAAACTAACATTATATTAAGAATGTAACGGTTGTAATGGGGTTTATGTGACGCCTATAACCAGCCCCAGTTAACCATCTAGCTTTCGCATTTTGGACTTGCTGAAATTTTCGAGCACCTTCCAAAGGCAGACCCATGTGCAGGGTGTTATAGCAATCCAGCCGGCATGTAAACTAAGGCATGTGTCACTTTCCAGAAAACTAAGACTAATAAGAATAAAAACAGAGACTGTTATTTTATTGATGGAAAACAGCATCCTAGGAAGTGATAGTTCTACATAAGGTGCTCAAACACTGTGCCAAGCAACAGCTGAAACAGAAAGAGTGCAATACCCCAGAAAAAACGTGACAAATATGTATCCCAAAGGGAAATGAAGGGCCTTCCCAGAGGCCCCTTGACCAGACAATTTCTCAATAAGAACTTGTAAGAATTAAGTTCTTCCAGCACGGCATGAAGGAGTAAACAGATTAGATGTCGTTTGTAAGTGGCCATCACTGAATCTGAACATGCTGAACAGAAAATGCAGACTGAGGTCCAAATTAATTGGTATTAATAAAGATCCACAGTCAAGATCCCAAGAACTGTTAAATTAGTTCCATGAATTTGAAGAAGCTTTTCACATTTGCACAATACTCTGTTGTGCAACAGGCAGACTATTTTCAAAGCAATATGAATTTCAAAGCAAGTTTGCCATGTGGCATAGGCAGTTTTAATAGATCCAAACCTTCGTAGGACTTTAAACATCACAACAATGAAGAAAAAAAAACAGCCTGTGCTGTGTGTGTGGGTGGGGGAGAAGCACCTTTGAAGATATTGAGATCCATTCCGTGTTATTGAGTAGGAGGCCTATTTCCATTGCAATTTTGTTGCTATTTCCCATTGAAGAGAAATGCAAATACAAGTCTACGCTTTTATTTTTAATTTTTTCAAAATCATACAAATTATATGTGAGTGAATTTTAAAAAAAGATATGCAAGGCAAGGCTTCACAGAATATTTTAGAAGACAGACACACAGTCATTACCTAGCTGAGCCAGAACACAGAATCCCATTAGTTATGGTAGTCATTACCTAGCTGAGCCAGAACACAGAGGGCAGAATCCCATTAGTTATGGCTGCCTGTTTAGGTCTGTTGGTGTAAATTTCAGCGATGAACTGCAAGTACTTATGAAGCCAGTATAGGTATTTGCTACCACATGTGAGTTGTGTGACTACAGCAAATGTTTATGCTGACTTCTTATCCTGTGGAAAGTTGCCACCGAAATGTACGCCAACAGACTTACATCAGCAGAGTTTGTCAATGGGATTCCAGCCTGTTCTGATCAAGGCATTTTTACAGGGGTCCTTGCCATGCAGCTACCCTACTGAAGAATAACAAAACAAAACAAAAAACCCTGAAAATGACAAGTATGCCACCAGGTGGACAGGAACAGTACAAACTGAAAAGATGTGGACCAGAAAGGAAACAATTCACTGGTCATGCAAAATGCAAACTGAATTACTACAGGAGGAAGTTTTTCTAGTATAATAAGGGAGTTCTTCTGCTAGTTCACATGCCAGCTGACCTTTTCCAAATTCAGGAAAGGTATTTTTAGAAAGGAACTGAATCACCTTTTAAGAGGGCATCATTCAACTCTTCAACTGTTTCTTTATTGTGAAGAGAGTGACTCAAGAACTAGGTATGAGAAACCTGGTGAGAAACCCAATCTATTGGCATCTCTTTTCTAGGAAAAATGCAAATAAAGACAGATACCTAAGTTGGCCCAATGACCTTTCAGGAAACGAAAAGTGAAATTTCTAGGTTACTTCCAGCTCTGCTCCCCCAAGTGATAACACCAAATGGCAAGCAATAAGCATTATATACTTACCTGCACAGTTTCAATTAGGCTTGCGGAATAAAAAGGCATTGCTATCACATAGGTCAACCTAGAGGAAGAAGTACAATCAATATTTTCATAATGACATCTCCTATTTCTTATGGTTTCAAACTGCCCAGACAACAATCTGGTTAAGATGAAACATCTAGATTTAATCAATATCCTTTAAAAAGAAAAGAAAACTCTTTTACATTTAAATGAGTTGGATTAGGCTTTGGGTGGTGCTTCCTGAGCACCTCACTGCTGAATTCCAATTGCTGAACTACCCAGTCCCATCCAAGATTAACATAATAGTTAAATTTTCTCAATATGCATATTTGCATATTAAGCAGTTCAAAACAGATGATATTCTTATTTCTTCAAACCCAATGGCAGTGTATCATGTTTGAGTGAGTTCTGCTCAAATCTATCCTTTAGCAGAATTCCTACAGAAATGAGAGTTTAGCTTAAAGTTCCAGTTCTGGACTGAAGGCAGCAGTCTCCTTAAATGCACTATCAGGGCCAGGTGGAAATACTCTGTAGCTCTCAAGATAAAAAGAAAAATGGCCAAAGATTTAAAGTTCCAATCTGGCTTAGATTGAAGCTGCTAAATTACAAGCTGCAAATAAGGGCGGGTTGCTTACCTATAACTGTAGTTCTTTGAGTGATCATCTGTGGAGTCACACATATGAGATTCCTTTTGTACCTGTGTGAATATCCTTGGAACCTTCTAGAGTCTAAAGGAAGTGCATCACGCATGCTCCCCACCCTGTATCTAGCCCTCAGGTGCCCCAGTTTGCAGATAACATAGAAATAGTTGTTGTGTCATAGCCTGAGGGTAGGATGGGTGGGTTATGTGAACTCACAGATGACCACTCAAAGAACTACAGTTACAGATAATTAATCTGTCCTTCTTTGTGGTTTTTATGAATCATATATGGGTGACTGGCAAGCTCACATACTGGCTGATGGGATGTCATGGCATATAGAGGAGGTCACAGCTCTGGAGAATGCAGCATCCCTCTTAGTCTTAACATCCAGTCTATAATGTTTGACGAACATTGAAGGCTATGACCATGTTACACCCAGCTGAACTCCTCTGAGAAGCACTGTTGATTCAGCAACTGTTCTAGTAGAATGCTCCTTTCAAGAATTGGGCAGTGGCTTTTTTGCTATTTGGTAACATAATGTGGTTGTGCCAACTATCATTTAGATAGTCTCTGAGATGTGATATGCTCACTTTTCCTCAGTCCCTGGTAACTAATGAAAAGTCTGGTAGACGTTTAGAAACCTCTCATTCTGGACTTATAAAAGGCTATTACTCTATGAGTGTCCAAAGTGCAGAATGACTCTTCCAACTCTTAAGCAGGTTTTGAAAAAAAAGGCACGACGCACTGAGGGAGGGCCTTAATCAGCTTTTCAAATGCTTGAAAAAATTTTTGGCACAGCTAGCATCTCTAACTTGTTTATGTGTAACCAATTTCTGGTTTGGGACCAGTGCACATGAATCTGTTGGCCCAAGCAACACAGTCCCCAGCCAGTAAGGCTTGCACTCTTGTGACTTGTACATGGAGTTGGAATTGCCTGAATGGCCTCCAAAATGACAAGAAGTAGTCTTTTTTGTTGTTTTCTGTCAGGATGTTGAATGACACCGGGTCTAAAGGGAACACATTTTCAAGCAAGGCTCCCTTCTAAGTTGGGCTTGCGCACACACAACTCCACCTCCCTCTGCACAGCTCTTTTCCTCCTTCATGCAATGACTGCGTTTGGTTCCGGTCGTGAAGAAACCCTGTGCATGAGGGGGGTGGAGGTGCATATGCAGGGATGAAGTTGCACACGTGAGAGGCGGAGCCCCACCCAGTGGGGCTGAAAATTAGAGGGTACATTGTTTTCAAGTAAACATGTGGAACTAATGATGTTGTCAATGCCATGAGTCGAAGAAATTTTAGGGCCCTGTGTGCTATGACCGATGTGTTCAGCTTGACTTTTTTGTCAAGTCTAAGACCTTATCTATTCTGCCTTGAGGTAGGCAAGCTCTTAGTTTTCTGGAATTCAGTACGACTCCTATATATTGTATGTTTTCAACTGGTGTTAAAGCTCCTTTTTAGTCTGAGAGTCAGAAGCATTAGGCTTCTTTCTCTTTCTGTATTGAAAGTGGTAGTTTTGAGGACTGGTGTTTCTTGGCTAGGGGTTATCTGAGCATCTGAGTCCTTAGCAGTTTTACTGGCGGTTGTGTTAGTCTGGAGGGCCTCCATGAGAAGTCTGTCCAGTGGCATTTTACAGATAAAGACCGTAAAAACTGAAGCCTCCTCGACAATGGTGTCAACTGATTTTTCTCAAAAATAGAATTTCAAATGAGATTTGTGGTCCCTGATGGCTACCTTCATGAATGTATGAAGATATGGGTTTTGCAGTACTTGTTTTTCAGAGTTTCACAGATGTTCCCATCTTGGCCTAGGAGCCAGCTCTTGTGTCAATTCAGAGGAGAAGAGCTGAGATCACATCTCAAGGCTGATAAACATTGAATTCCATTCTGCTTTCCAGCCTAGGAACTAGAGACTGGATGGTGGAAAGTTACAAGATGGGTGTAAACTTGTGAACAAAGGACTATAGGCTAATTGGATACCATCACGAAGCAAAGACTGATTTAAGTTATAGAAAGGGGTTTTGGGTTCATGTGTAAGTTGGAGGAGAAGGAGGAGGAGGAGGTGACAGGTTTAAAGCCTTCCTCAATTGATTAGGAGACTTAGCAATGGTTACTTAGAAAAGCATGATAATTCAGTAGTAAAATCATTAGTTAGTTAATCATTTCATTGTTTTATGGGAAAGACTTGCAAGAGCTCAATTAGATGCTTATCATTTAACAGTACAATTTGTACCTTTTGGTTTTTCTTTTGTTTTATAACTGGTAAGGCTGGTGTGCAAGGTTTAAAGTACAAAGCTAAAGAGTATTTAATCCTAGCTAAGGAAGGAATCCGCATAGTCAAAGCCATGGTATTTCCAGTAGCGATGTATGGAAGTGAGAGCTGGACCATAAAGAAGGCTGACCGCTGAAGGATTGATGCTTTTGAATTGTGTTGCTGGGGGAGACTCTTGAGAGTCCCCTGGACTGCAAAGAGAACAAACCTATCCATTTGGAAGGAAATCAACCCTGAGCGCTCACTGGAAGGACAGAGCCTGAAGCTGAGGCTCCAATCCTTTGCCCATTTCATGAGAAGAGAAGACTCCCTGGAAAAGGCCCTGATGTTGGGAAAGTGTGAAGGCAAGAGGAGAAGGAGACGACAGAGGATAAGATGATTGGACAGTGTCATCAAAGACACCAACATGAATTTGACCCAACTCCGGGAGGCAGTGGAAGATGGGAGGGCCTGGCGTGCTCTGATCCTTGGGGTCATGAAAAGTCGGACATGACAACGTCTAAACAACAAGGAAGGAACTGGAACTCTAGGTGTGAGGATATAGGTTTTGTAGTACTTGTTTAACAGGGCTTGCAGGACTCCTCTAATGACTCCTGACATATGATAGAACTGACAGTTCTATGTTTGATGTCCCTCACGGAGGCAGTACAGGTACTCTGAATATCCATCAGTGATGAGGATTTTATTGTTACAACTGATACACTTTTTGAAAGGGCCTGGTGGGGCCATAATAGGGCAGAAATGGTTGTTAACCAATGGATAAATATGAGATAATAATAAATAAGAATTTGTTTCTTAGGAACAAAGAGATCAAGGAAGAAGCGGAGAAAGTGGACAGGTAAGGGGTAACTACATACAGGGGTGTCTCGCTTAACGACAATCATCCATTCCAGGAAAATCGTCATTAAGTGAAAACATCATAAAGCGAAAATAAAAACCCCATTGAAACACACTGAAACCCATTCAATGCGTTCCAATGGGGTAAAAACTCACCGTCCAGTGAAGATCCTCCATACAGTGGCCATTTTCGCTGCCTGTATAGCGAGGAATCCGTCCCTAGAAAACAGTGTGTGTGGGGGGCCATTTTGAAAGCCGGCGGCCATTTTGAAGCCACCAATCAGCTGTTTAAAAAACATCGTTTTGTAAAGAATCGGTTCCAGAAGCAGGGAACTGATCATTGCAAAGCGAAATTCCCCCATTTAGACCATCGTTTTGCAATCACAAAGTGGATTTGTCGTAATGCGGGGCAATCGTTAAGCGAGGCACCACTGTATAGACTGTTTAGAGGGAATCTCCTGAGGTGTTCTCTAAGTAGTGGCAGTTGATGGGGAGCATATGTGGTGGAGAGGGTGGGTCCTAAAACTTTCTTTAAGCTCTAGAAAGTTCTAAGGACATTTACACAGGTGCGAAAAGAACCCCATATGTGTGATTTGCAGAGACCATGAAGTAATTAAATACTCCTGCAGCACTTCTCCTTAATTGGTTATCTTGCCTCTTTTAACTCAGTGACTTTTGGTTATTATTTTCAAAACATGTTGAGATAAAATGCTTACAGTAACAAAGAAGGAGCAGGTTTACTTACCCTTTCAGCATAAGATGTCCTCCTATTTGCTTGGGACTCCATTTATATGAAAGTTCTCTGAAATACAAAAGCACTACACGTTCATCAAATGTCACTAATAGGAAATCCAAATGTTGTAATCAGTAAGTACTTAAATCAATCAGTACAATCAAGAGACCTGTACTTAACCTTAGAGTGCAGAGACACCAGTGCATATAAAGCTGTGTGTAACAATTATTACTTCATATGTTTCTGTGCTGGAGAATACACTATCAAGGGAATGCCCTTGGGTATATGAAACATTTCTAGGCAAGGAAGTAAGTGAAATATTCTACTTCAAGTTAACAAGTGGAATGTCAAAGATCTCTGAGATTTTTATTGCACACTATCATGTGTATCATAACAAAAATCAAACTTACCCACATGTAATATTGATCATTATGTGATTTTTGAAAGTTGTTTGGAATACTATTGAAGCAGTTTATGCAGATGTTAACACAATGCAGATGTTTGTACCAGGATTCAGCCTATAAACAGCCATGTCAAATTCTTCCAAACTTGTTGGATAAAATGAGCAACTGTACAAATGCAAACCAATTATGATATACAGAATGCAATGCATTTTTGTATATTCTTCCCCTCTTCCTTTGTTAGCATTGTTATTTGCTCCTTGTATTTCAAACACTTCTTACATTTTTGTTTCCTGAAATAATATAGGTCTAATTATTGATTTGTCTGAATTCTATTAGGCACATCACTTATTTCAAAAGGAAGAACAGAAAGAGTGGAAGATTAGTTCTCTACTCTGGTTACTGTGTTCATCATGTGTTTTATTTTAATTTGATTCATTACTGTATTTTATTGTTGTAAACTGCCCAGAATAGTGCGCTGCACTAATGAGATGGTATATAAATTTAATTAACACAAAAACAGTAAACTCAATATACTACATCTCTTTACCACTTGATTCTAAAAGTTCCCTGGCAAGATAGCACGTATCGTAACATGGTTTCTTTTAAGAATTTGGGGAGACAATACAGTAAATCTATTTGACAGCTAACACAGCTCAAACTCTTTACAACAAATTATCTGTTCATTTGGCCAGCAGAAGATCCACCAAGCAACAAGAACTGCTAAATTATAATTGTTTTCAGTATGATGCAGAGACATTCCTACTGCTGACCTTAATTTTTAGCAGTAAAGAATCTGATGCTGTGAAGTGTCAGTATCAATATTTGAGGGAGGCATGCATCGAATAATAGCTCAACGGGAAGACTCTATTACTGTTTATGTCATTCAAAAAACAGCACAAAGGTTGCTCCAAAAACAAAACAACCCCACACAAAACCAGCAGTCAGACAACATTTTTAGCAATCAAAATGGCATAAAAATAGCACAAGAGAATGTATACATTTCCATTCATTTGGGTTGGTCCTAATAACAAGTGTTGCCCAACTGCTGATTTTATTTATATAACTACCTCTCACTGTATATATTCCAGGCTCTTAAAGAAGTGCACAATTTGTTTAGAAAGGATGGTATCCAAAAGTGATAAACATGGATAAATTTTAGGGGATACAGTGAATAGCTACTTAGTAGGCAGACATATATATATTTGTATATATTAAAAAGGCTACTTACGTCCACAGAGCTCCCAGCAATGTCATCTGGGTAAATTATGAGTATCACAAAGCACATTTGAGTGCATGACAGACACAACATTTCAATATGACAATGAGTGAGAAACTGACAGGACTGTTTCACACACACGAAAGAGACTGCCACCATGTCGTGGTTTCTCCTTTTTTCAACTTGTCTAAATAAAATCTGAAAGTCTCCTGAAAGCATAATAACAAATACAGATCACTTTAGAGGATGACAAAGCATGGGAATACCTTGGCAAGGGTGTGAATTCACTGATGATGCCTTCTGCTCCAAGGGTTATGCCCTGAACAATGAAAGTGCTCCCCATTCCTTTCCAAAGAGCTCGGGGCCCCTGCAATTTAAATGATAGCTTGAAGAAAATATAGCCTGAAGAAAATACATGGAAAATCAACCCAAGGCAATTTTCGATATAATGCTAACTCTGTCATCGAAGCTACCAACATGAATTTGACCCAACTCCGGGGGGCAGTGGAAGACAGGAGGGCCTGGCGTGCTCTGGTCCATGGGGTCACGAAGAGTCGGACATGACTTAATGACTAAACAAACAAACAAAACATACCGATGTTATCGGAGAATGCCTAGCCTTGCCTCTCACCATTTCATTCTTCATGGGTACAGAACTGAGTGTGAGGTGGAGAGATTCCTGCTCATGTGCAGGTTCTACATGTAAACAAGCACCCTAAAAATGTTCAGTTATTCCGACATGTAGAGCTCCAGCCAAGCCTGACTTGGTACTGGAACCATGAAGAACATGACAGAAGAGATGGACCTAGGTATCCACCTCCTAGTGCGTTCCCAGTGCTGGATTGAATAATGGCTCAATAAAACTTTCTATTCTATTGCATTTTTATTATCTTTTTTTTTTACAGATAATTGATATGAAAAAGATCTAATTTAAAGCTTTGTACAGCCACTTTGCAGTTAAAATTATCCTAACATCTTAACAAGATACATTTTGTGTAAGAAAAGAATATTATTAGTTTGGTGTCAAATACTAACCTGCGTCTTGTTGATGCTATACATAATATTGATGATTGTAAATGGAGTGAGATGATAATTCTTGGCATGATAATTAACCTGTAAAAATAAATATACCTTATTTTAAAATATAATATATGCTACAATTAGTTAATACTTTTTATTATTATTATTATTATTTTCCTAAAGACTTACTGGATCACACTGATGCAGTTAACACTGAACTACTTTTGAAATATTACATTCAATTTACAATGTGATGCCAATACCTAATCCAACCCAATGTTTTCAATAATACTGAATTCAAAAATAGCATCACAAACCCATACATGCTACTTGCTTTCCTGAGGACTAAATTTAGCTTTGCAGCCTAAGAAAAGTGAAAGGGCTCATTTAAGATGGTAACTCAAGCCTATTTACCTGGCACTGTCGACGTAAAACGATGCATGGATGAGCAAGCACATTCTCTGTAAACAAACTTTGGGGGGGGGAGAAAAACAGTGGTTTTAAATATTAGCATTTCTCAAAATAGTACTATTCTTTTCTTTATGCTACATAATCTTGCTATGTTTTAGAACGTCTGTTAAAACGTTTTAGTGTTCTAAAGCTAGATGGATATTTATCAGGTATCATTTGTACGGTAGCAAGAACAAGGGTGACATTATAGAGCCTGTGGAAACCACTCAGTCTTCTTCATGTTTACACATGTTATTTTATTAGGGTTGTACACTCTTTTCAGAAAAGAATGTCCAAATGAAGTTAAACACGGATACTTGTACATTACACGAGCAGCTACAAGGCAGTTTAAGAAGCCCCCAGTTGCACTCAGTTTGATTGGTGTGTTTCTATAAAGTTCATTCTGGCCTTCCAGAGGTTAAATGCTGAAAACAGAATACAGTACAAATACTTGGATCGCTAGGCTGAAGTAAAAGGAAGATGCATCAAAGCAGGAGATGGACAGTGGAAATCACAGTGAAAGCCAAAACCACTCCTGCAAAATCTTGTCATTGAGCCCTGGGGAGGGCTCAGATTGGCCTCATCAGACTCCACTGACTTTCTTCATCCACCTCTGTAGCAACTCTGTATCCAGGCATGGCAAGGAGAGAATGGTTGTGAGGGGATCACCACCAGCGTCTTTTGCCTCACACTTTCCTGGGAACCAGGGTGAAGCAGCTGCTTGGGACTCTCAGGAAGGCTGGGAGGAAGGAAGCCCAAGGGTCTCCAGGGAGACGGGAGATGTGGAACAGCTGGCAGGTTGGGCAGAAGACCTGTTGAGAGGGCTGAAGAGGGTGGGGATGAAAGCTCAGGGTCCTCACTGGAGCCTGGGACTCGTGGTGAGGATTCAGCTGAGGACCAGAAGACTTGGGAATCTGCAGTAGAGCTGGAAGACATGCTCTGTGCTACTGGGGAGCTGACTCGGGAGCAGATCAATGGCCCTTGGCAAGAGCTTGCCAGCAGTGGCTAGTGGCCAAGGGACATCCATCACTTCAGCCCCGGAAACCTCTTTCTGAATCTTCTGTAGCAGGACATGTTTGGAAGAATGACAAGAGAAAAGCAGCTTGTAGGACAATGATTTGGAGACAAAAGGGCAGGAAGATCACACATCTTACATTATTATACGCCTGCGAAAATTCATGTCACACATGCAACAAGAACTGCAGAGTATTCAACTACGCAGATGAAGAGATGACCACCACCTAGGGTTTAAAAATCTGGTGCTACCTCGCTCTGGTTGCTAGGCAGCACATCTCTCGGGGGGGGCTATTCTCTCCTATGCTCATGGTAGAATCTTTGAGGAGCAGCAGTTAGAATAGCTACAGGAATCCACTGGCCACCTGGAAAGGTTCACTCTGACACATACGGTAAGGTTTTCTGCTACTTCCACAATGCCCCACGAGAAAAAAAATCTGTACTGCTTCTTTGGTTGAGGAACACTGTCCTATTGTATCTTGATCAATTGGCCAAAAATCTCCAAACAGTGAAAAGATACTCCAGAAGTTTCTATGCTGTAAATGTGATATAAATGTACAGAGAGACTACCAAACATTTAATTGTAAGGTATGTTTGTCATACCATTTAAACAGTTCCTATTTATTTAATCATGCTACTCAAAATGTTAGCTTTCAATAGAATGATACTACTGTACTGAAGTAATAGTCATATGTATTATTACTGTTCTGGCCATCACATTCTGTACTAACGGTCAAGTCATCTTTCAAGGTCAGCCCCATAACGTATTATAGCAATCCAATTAGGAGGCTAACAGGATGATCTCTGCCAAAGCCAACAGTATCCCAGAACACCTCTTGTTCCAGGCATCCAGCTTCATGCTCAGATGAACAGATGAGACTGAAAGTGAGTAGTATATACTCTGTTGGGTCAACATTTCAAGGCATCGGTTTTAACCTTTAAAGCAGGAGTCTTAAACTCAAATTACCTGGGGGCTGCTGGAGGCAGAGTCTAGGTGAGGCTGGGCCGCATCAGATTTTTTAAAAAAAAAACCCTCACAGAATCGCCTTGCCAAATGAGAAAAGCCCCCATCAGTACCCATGAAATTAAACAGAACAGGGTGGGCCCCCCACAGGTGCATGCACTCACATACACACACACACACATACACACACAGGTCTGGCAACCTTCCTCTGAGACCCCCCCTCAAAAAAAGGCACACTCAGCAGCAGCAGCTACCCCCACCACGACAGAGGAGCAAACTTTACGAGGTGAGCCCAGACAGCCTCCAGAGCTGAGGTTAAACAGAACAGACCCCCCCCCAGGTGCATGCACACAAACACACACACACACACATAGAGGTCCGGCAACCTTCCTCTGAGGGCCCCCTCAAAAAAAGGTGGACTCAGCAGCAGCAGCAGCAGCAGCTACCCCAACCACAACAGGGGAGCAAACTTTGTGAGGCGAGCCCAGGCAGCCTCCAGAGCTGAGGCGGCTGGAGCAGGACGAAGAGGAGGAGGAGGAAGCACCGCCGGGTGCTGAGGCGGCTGCTGGCTGGGCTGGTGCTGGGGATCCCGACAGAGAAAGAGAGCAAGAGAGCCGCTTCCCTGAAAGAGGCAGAGGTAGCGCTGTTGGCGCTGTTGAAGGCGCTCTTCGAGGAAAGGTCGGGAGCAAGCTCTGCTCTCTGGCATCGCTCAGCGGTGGCTCAGGCACTCAGGGAAAAGGGTGGGCAGCGTGCCTCGCTCACCAGCTCTCCCCCAAGGCAGCGCTTCTTGCACCCTCCATCCAGAACTGCAGCCGGCAGACAGGCGGGCTGGCTGGCAGGCTGCAGTTCTGGATGGAGGGTGCAAGAGGCGCCATCTTGGGAGAGAGCCGGCAAGTGAGGCGAGGCTTTTTTTTTACTCTTGACAGCAGAATATGTGTGAGCGCTTCAGGGGGGGCAGGCAAGGCGGGGGCCACAAACTATCATCCAGCGAGTTGAAAATGGCCCCCGGGCCGCATGTTTGAGACCCCTGCTTTAAAGACTTCTGTTATTTAAACAGAACAGACCCCCCCCCAGGTGCATGCACACAAACACACACACACACACATAGAGGTCCGGCAACCTTCCTCTGAGGGCCCCCTCAAAAAAAGGTGGACTCAGCAGCAGCAGCAGCAGCAGCTACCCCAACCACAACAGGGGAGCAAACTTTGTGAGGCGAGCCCAGGCAGCCTCCAGAGCTGAGGCGGCTGGAGCAGGACGAAGAGGAGGAGGAGGAAGCGCCGCCGGGTGCTGAGGTGGCTGCTGGCTGGGCTGGTGCTGGGGATCCCGACAGAGAAAGAGAGCAAGAGAGCCGCTTCCCTGGAAGAGGCAGAGGTAGCGCTGTTGGCGCTGTTGAAGGCGCTCTTCGAGGACAGGCTGGCAGCGAGCTCCGCTCTCAGGCATCGCTCGGCGGTGGCTCGGCCCCCCCTCAAAAAAAGGCACACTCAGGTGGGCGGGCTGGCAGGCTGCAGTTCTGGATGGAGGGTGCAAAGACAGCTGGCGAGCGAGGCAAGGCTTTTTTTTTTACTCTTGACACCAGAGGACGCGTGAGCGCTTCAGGGGGGGCAGGCAAGGCGGGGGCCACAAACGATAGCGAGTCGAGTTGCAAATGGCCCCCGGGCCGCATGTTTGAGACCCCTGCTTTAAAGCCTTGCTGGAATCCTTACATCTAAAGTACTCCCTCCCAGCACATGAACCTGCTTCTCTGGTTTGGCTTAGTCAACAGGTTTGTCAAATTTTTGGCAAAAATAAACACAGCCTTGAGATGCTGCCCCAAAGCTTTCTGGCTTGTCTACATTAAAAGTTCTGACAGTTAACACTTTGCTATGTTTTCATAATAACAGCAAAACCCTTCCTTTAATGTTAGCTTTTGGTTGATACGTTTTTAGACTGCTAAATTTTTCTGGTTATTGTCTTCACATTACATATCTGGTGGGGCCACTGTGAGATATAGGAAGCTGCACTAGATGGGCCCTTGGCTTGATCCAGCAGGGCTCTTCTGATGTTTGCATTTGCCTTTGTGCTGCATGCATTTGTGTGTGTGTGTGTGTGTGCGTGTGCGTGTGTGTATTCGTATACGAATATGAATACCTCATCTGTTTTATATACACAGACAGATAGATAAAAAAGAGATGGGGTATTCATATTTGTATACAAATACCCCTGCACAGGTGGATATAAAGAGGGTCCATCCACTCACCCATCCACTGCTGTAGCTGGCTCCATGCTGCCTTCTATTTGCTCCAGAGCTCGCAGTTGACTAACCACTCCTGGCAGAAGGAGGTAAGACAAGCCTCCCTGCCCAGCTGAAAAGTGGCTAGATGACCGCGAGCTCCAAAGCGGATGGAAGGGAGTGTAGAGCTGAGGCAGCAGCAGCAGACGGGTGAGTGGATTGTCCACCTGTGTGGGGGTATTCATATACGAGTATGAATACCCTCATATTTTACATATACACATGATGTGTGTGTTTGTGTGTGTATATATATATTAGTGGTCTGAAAAGCTTGGAAAGGAATTAATACATTTTACTAAAAAAACACACACACATATATATACATATACATATGTATACATATACATATACTGTATACACACAGATTTTTGAAAGGTGATAGCAAACTTTAGTGTTTTGCTTAAGATATCATTACAACTTTAAGCTCTTTGATTGTACAGTGGACCTTGACTTACAGATGGCTTGACTTACTGACTTTTTGAGTTACAGACTTCTCTGGCCGCAAAATTTAGGTTTGACTTTCAGACTGAGATTTGACTTACAGACCAGAAAAAAACCAAAATGGAACAAAAACGGCCTGTTACAGGATTAATCGGTTTTCAATGCACTGTAGGTCAATGGAGACTTCACTTACAGACTTTTTGACTGAAGAACCGCCTTCCAATACGGATTACGTTCTCAAGTCAAGACCCCACTGTATATGCATACTTTACAAGTGAACAACAACAAAGATTTTGGAAAAATGTGCTTATATTTTTAAATAACATTACTGATAACAGAATAAAGATCTCACCTTGCCAGGCCAATCCCAAAGCCTGCAAACCGATTCAGCTGTTCTGAAATAGACAAACCACTTGTATTTAATGAAGCAACAAAAAAGAGCAGCATAAGTTACTTTATTAATCATTAGCTTTAATAAACTATAAGACAGTGCATCAACAAAAGAAGAATATGCTCAATTTGCAAATTGCAAAAACCCAGTAGTATTGGCAAATATAACAAAATAGTATCTAATTTCCTTATTTCTCTTAGGTGACTGGACAGTCTGTATTCTGTCTACAGACTTCAACATCTGGAGGGAAACATTTGATAACTGTCTGTACTGGGCCATGGCATTTAGTAGATGCCCTTGGAGCATTGATTGATTGATTGATTGATTGATTGATTGATTGATTGATTGTATTTATACCCCGCCTATCTAATTATTTCGACCACTCTAGGCGGCTTACAACATAAAGGATAACAAGTTCAGGTTAATGTACTATTCTGACTTAGAGGAACAGTGGAATATATCAACAGGGTGAGGCTCAGGGGATGACAGCACCAAAATGTTGCCAAGGCCTCAGAAACTTAGGGGGCTAAGTGAGTGGTGCAAGCTGTTGATGTCCAACAACCCTTGGTTGGGGGGCAGTTGCTGCTCAACGTCCATCAAACTAGATGGATGTTTGTTGCAAGTAAAGGCTGCTGCTGCTTCCAACTACTGTACTACTAACATGGATTCTCCACTTTGGAGATGAAATGGTAAAAAAAGAAAAGAAAAGAAAAAGAATGCACTGGGGTGCCCAGAAGTAAAGCACAGGTTAACAGCGGGAGGCAGGTGCTCTTGCTTCTGGTCTAATTTTTCTGTGCTTATGAGTAGCACGGTGGGAAGGACTGGAGCTAGCAGGGCTGCCTACTATATACAAGTCAGCCTTCATTGCTCCCCCCTCGTCACTTTACTTTTACAACCATCCTGTGAGGTAGGTAAGCCTGCCAGAGAGTGCCTGGCTCAAGGTCACAGACTCAGCTCCACATCTCTTGAACCTGAGTTTCTCAAATTGCAGCAAAAACACGGAAACCAAACCCCACACTGGTTCCTTCACGTGCTCTACAATTTATAGGGCTGTTTGCAGGGCGGCTTACTTGCTTGCGCCCCTCAGAATCCTAAACCTGCTACTGAAATGTACACCAATGAAAAACTAAGGTCAGGTCAACTGTCCACAGGTATTAGAAATAGGTTCTCTCTCCCCCCCTCCCCACATTAATTTTGGGAATGATCTTGCGAGTTTAGTTTGTTAGGAAGTAACTCCCAGGCGCTCCCCCGCCCTCGACAGCCCTTAATGGCCTCTCCCAGATTTAGGGCGCTCCACCGTACATGCAAAAGAGATGCCTGCTTTTCAGAAATGGGAGCCCCGGGAGGAGGTGAGATCGGTCTGTGTCCAGCAAGGCGGCAGGTGATCTCTAAAGGGGCCGCCAGCTCTCGTTGCCCCTGAGGGGCGGGCGGGCAACAGGTGCTGGGCCTTCTGCTCCCCCCTTGACAGCTCTCCAGCTCTGGGCTCTTTCTGCAACTCCACCTCGCGCCTCCAGAGACCCGGCCTGGCGCCGCTGGGCGCGTCCCCACGCCCTCCTCCTCTTCCTCCTGGTACTAACCGGAGCTGGAGGCAGCGCCTCCCGCATAAGGGTCCTCGTTAAATCCAGGCGCCCCCAACGGGGTGCCAGCGACGAACTGCGGGGTCTTCTCCCCCCAGTGGAGGTTGCGGCTGCCGGGGATGTCGGGCGGGGTACTGACCCAGTGGCCTAGGTCCGGCTTGGCCGCGAAGCCCCCTGGCTCCTCTCGGCCGCCCCGGTAGCCCAGGCCGTCGAAGCTCTCGGGGCGCCTGGGATACATCGGGCCCAGGGAAGAGAGCGCGCGCGCGAGAGAGTGAGAGAGCGGGGCCAGGAGACCCGAGGAAGAGGCAGCCTTAGGGAAGAGCCTCCCCCCCTTCTCCCCTCTTGTTAACAAACTCCACTTCCGGGTGCGGAAGGGAAGCAAACCTTGCTATCCCGAAGCCAAGGCGTCTTCTATGGTATGTCATGTGACACGAGCCGGAGGTTTCCCGACAGAGTTGGGAAGGGTTTAGAGGGGAGGGGTGAGCACTAGATGTGTACAGTATTGTGGTTTCCTGACGGAGAGGTGGTGGTCGGCAAAACTACCTGTTGTCTCTCTATGGGATTTATAAATGTTTTGGAGGGGAAGCGAGCAAGCGCTGCCTTCAGAAATTTATGTCCTTAAAATACATAGGCTTTAA